ATATATATATATATATATATAGAAAGAGAGAGAAAAATTTAGACAATACAGTGTCGAAGTGCAATAAAAAACTATTATTATGGTGTAAGTATTCTTATTTGTGTGAATATTTAATATCGGACTTAACCTAACCTAATCTATAATCTTTCTACCTTTTGCATCAACTGTTATCAGCTTATTGGTCAAGAGCACTTATATTGAATTAAAATGGCGGTGGTTACCTAACCCAACCGACGCAATGTCGCATCTCTGTTTTCTAGGCCTCTACTATTTACATTACATAAGGCAGAATACTTTTTAGGTGTCCAACCGATACGACCAGAGGCATGATAGATTATCCATTTTTCTCTTCTTGTGGGAGATTTCGGGAAATGAGGCATTATATAGCCATTTCTACTTAAATTTTTGCAATTTGGAACTTCACAGTATCGCATTTTTCAATGATTTAAAAAATATATAAACTGTATAATCGAACCATACATACGTATAATATATCTACATCTTAAACAAACAGTACTGAGCAACTAAATCAGCATTTACTAAGTATATGCTTTCCTTTTAAAAGACACACTCGACACAAACATCATTCTATCTTTATCATTCGTTGACTGTCAAGAAGGATAGAATGACGTTTGTGTCGAGTGTGTCCTCTAAGGCCGATATTTCATGTGTCGTACGACAAGGCTCTTTAAGCTTCAAGCCTGTTTATTGACTGTAAAACAGAGAGATTCTCGGATCTCTCTGTCCTATAGCCAATTAACGTGCTTGAAAAGTTTGTCGACCGACACATGAAATACCGGGCTAAGGGCCAATTTCACCAACATCGGTTAAGCTAACCGACGATTAAAGTGTCAACCGTGATTGGTTCATTCTGATCAAAGACAAATGCGATTGGATAATTCCATTGGAATTAACCGTCGGTTAGCTTAACCGACGTTGGCGAAATTGGCCCTAAAAGGAAAGCATACTAACCTAACCAACGGAAGTATCCCACTAATGGCGGCAGCCAATCCGCATCTTTCACGCTGTTGTCCGATCCCTTACTTGAGGGTCCCTAGTTACCTTTAGAGTTCCTCTAGTAAGAGTTAAGCCATCAGCCGGAAGCCGCCATTTTCTGGGACCACCCGACGCGCGAAGATTGAAACTGCATATTACGAATGAATTCGAAAGTGAACAGAATGAGAGTTATCATATAGGAATTGACTAGTGCAGATGCTATTGTTTCTCTTAGATGATATTCTATTAGCATAATACAAAACTTTCATCGTACACATTGAGTTTATATCTCAAATCTAGCTTAGGTTATTAAACCGTCTTTGTTCTTTATTTGATTTTACATTACCACTATCAGATTTCAAGTATATGAACTCTGTAGAGAATGTTTGTGGGTCTTTAATTTGAAATAGGTAATGAATAATTTGACGTAAATATCTATTAATTTTAACAGGTATCTTACAATTTATTAGTATATCACATAAACATTGCAGATTTCAAAATAAAAACTTCATTGCATAGAATGAGTTTATATTCGAAATCTTTCTTTTTGTTTTGAAGCCTTCAGTATAGCATATGTGATAAATTTTTTATGTAAATAATTATTAGTTTGAACAAAAATCTTATAGTAGTTGCAATGAAACATTCATCGCAAAGCGATTTCAGATTTCAAATTATCACCATTTAGTAAATCTTATTTAGTGAATCTTCTTTATTTATGCGTAAGGTTCAGCATTTCCAGATTTGAAGCGAAATGATTTTCTAATTCTAAGTTTATGTACTATATATTAGTATTCATATAGAAATTCCAAGTTACATTCAATTCTCTGTATTTTTTAATAATAAATCAAAGAAAATAATGATAATTTTGTGATAAGGAAACAGAATTCGGAACATAAAACTTCGATCATAGATCTTACCAAGTAAACGAGTCAGTTTATTAAAATAATTTTTTCGTGACTCAAGTGAAAAATAGAAAGTTGTCAAATTTATAAAAATTCAAAACCTTATTTTTTGATAAATTGCAATTTTTATCTTTTTCATTCGAGTTACGAAAAATTCATTTTAATGTAATTTAAACGTGAAATTCTTTTTCGTAACTTAATTACATAATTATCGCATGGGAAATGATTGTCAATAACGTTTAAATTATGTTAAACTTACCTGAGTAAGAATTTCAATTTACTTTGACGTTTGGAATCTGCTCAATCTGCTGAAGCGTTTGAAAGAAATACACAATTTTATGTATGTGTTGGTTGTGCACGTACAGGTTAACTCACTAACATAATCGTAGGGTCCCAAAACATGGCGTCGAAACTTCTGACCAATCGCGAGCGACGCCGCTGATGGCTTAACTCTTACTAGAGGAACTCTAGTTACCTTTATTTTGAAGCGCCTCTACAAAACGTGGACATTGAACTATGTAGTCAATGTTCACGATCGTGTCGGTAATGTCCACAGTTTTGGTTCGAATCTTCTCTATGTAGGGAAAAGATTCGAGACAAAAAATCGTGGACATTACCAACACGATCGTGGACATTGGCTACATAGTTCAATGTCCTCGTTTTGAGGACATAGAGGCGCTTCAAAATAAAGTAACAGCAGAGAGCTCTCTGGTAACAGCTAAATCTCGGACATGGCCGCTCTTCAGATTTCTTTCTGTCCTAACCTAGTGAGAAATAACAATGGAATCAACATCGTAATCATCAAATTGACGTCGATTCCATTATCATTTCTCACTGGGTAACATCCTTAAATAAGGCGAATATTTATCTTTAATTCATCGATTGATCAATCGCATTGTATGCAAATGTAATCTTGTTCTGTAAAAGCACCTAAAAAAATTTACATATATATATATATATATTATATATGATCACGCAGATAACCGGATGCACGTATTCCGAGATTCTAGTTTTTAACTCGTTTCGACATTCCACTCGTCCATGTCCATACTAACGGTAGAGACAATCCGACCTCCTCGTTTCCTCCTCCCCACATCGATAAGAGATGATAAAAGACTCTTCACAGCCTACTTGAGAAGGACATGGACACACATGGATGTCAGTCACGGGTCGACACCACGTGGTTATTTATATTTTTTCTAGGTGTGCCATAGAGCTTGCTCGATTATCCATTCACTCGTTTCCTTCCTGTATCGGTTCATTCATAAGCGACCAAGTCAATAGACGATAACGACCGCGTAAATAAAAATATGTAATGCGTAGTTAGAGAATGTACGGCAGACAAGAGAACCGCGAAAAATGGCAAGAAACTAACGTAGTAAATTAGTGTTAAAGTCTAGTTTTGACAAGAGTAAATTGGCTCACTCATTCATAAACATTCATAAGTGGCCAATTAGTGATAACCGCGTAGATAAAAATATGTAACGCGTTTAACTAAACAATGTACTGCAAACAACAGAATTGCAGAGAAATGCAAGAAACTAATATGGTAAATTAGTGTTACAAGTCTTAAGTTTTGACAAGAGTGAGTTACAAACTCGCTCATTCCCAAGCGGCCAAGTTAATCGATAATAACTATCGCGTAGATAAAAATATGTAATGCTTAATTAGAGAATGTATGACACGTGGTAACCATCGTATGACGACAGAATCGCAGAGAAATGCAAGAAACTAACGCGATAAATCAGTGTGAGGTTCAGCTTTGACAAATATAAGTTACAGTGATTTACCTGTCCAGCACCCAGTAAAAATCTCATACCTATATGTTTCTACTACCATAGAATTTCACACTTTCGAAAATTATAAAAATTTACAATTTAATTTGCAGCATTGAGATTTGTTGCTGATTAACAATCCAGAATCGCAGAGCAATTCTTGTTACGCGTTAATTTTTCGCAAGCTTTTTCTTCTAGAAATTCCGAGACAAACACGCTGGACGACGTTAATTCATTAATTATTCAATCCCTGGCAAATCCATTTAACGATGACACATAGATTGCTGCAGATCGCGTGAATTCAGGCCGGAGCATGCGTGCGTTGGCATGATTATGTAACTCTTCGCGACAGATAACAATGTGTGCGTATGTAATATACACCTTGTTATCCCTGAAATCACAAAACATGTATTAATTGAACGAAAGAGTTTGGAAAGAGAAACTGGAAGAAAAGCGTTATTTGCTAACTCATTTCGCAATTTCATCTTTTTCGTTTTTGAATGCCAAATAAATTTCTAATGACTTCTATAAAGGGAAAGAATGCTTACAAGGGCAACTTTCAATCAGTTTCATTCCTGGTTACACATATCACCTAATATAAAAAAATCTTTAAGAGATTTTCTGCTATTGTCCATTTCTACCAATGTAGATTTCATTTTAATCTCGGTTTAACTTACTTTTCATTTTTGTTTTTATTAGAATGTCTGATAATCAGAAATCTGTTTAGTCTCTTTAAAATGCCTTCTTGTTAGGCCTTTTGTTTAATCACATTTTTCTGTGTTCTAATCTCACACAGCGAATCTCTAAAGGACTTTCTAAGGATTCCCCAAGACGTTCCTTTAGATAAAGTGTACTGTGTGGGATTCTGAGATAAAGAATAAGTAAAAAATTAAACAGAGTTTATGTACATTGATACAAAAGTGAGCCTGTAACAAAAGCTGTAGTTCGTTGTCGCAGTAGAATTAATCTTTTAACAAGTAGGAGGAACTTCTAAAAAGAGGAAGGAACATAACACATTTAGGGAGCAAACACAGAAAAAGAGATCATTCCTTTGCCTCTCCGTACACATTCTATTTCAAAAATTCTGTTTAAAAACATAACTTCGAATACTTCATATTCTTTTTTCTCTTCTTCCTCTTCATCCTCCTTGTCTTCTTCCTTCTTTCTTTCTCTCTCTCACTCTCTCTCGTTTCTTCTTTATTTTTTAAGTATTAATAGATTAGTTTAATATATAAGTCGAGCCGTGGACCCGGCGTGCGCCGCCGGTCGAATTAGATTCATACACTGTAACAGTCGTATTCTTTACAATATTCATACGTAAGTCTTGTAGCAGAGACAAAAGCGCAGGTGCCCTAATCGCACTCGATTTTTTTATTCTTTATAATAATTATTCGTATGCTCGTCTAAACCTCTGGTGCTATCAATGAACCACAGAGACCGTGTCGCGGAGGGAATCGGCTGTGTCTATCAAGACTATTTACTCTTACATGTGATGTGTAACTAAATAATTCCTAGTCAGACATAAAAATAACGTCTGAGAAACATTGTAGTATACATCCAACTTCAAATTGTGAAATGACCCATCTTTCACTTCATTCTGATATCAGCGAGAAGTAAATGATCTCTCAAATCCATCCAATTTGTAGTAAAGTCCGTTAAGACTAATCAGAGGACACTCCCGCATGTCTTCAGACGTCCGTCTAGACACTTCGCGTCGTCCAGAATACTTGGTCCGACATTGTGTGTCCGTGCATTGATAGCGCCAGAGGTCCACGAAGATCCAATATAGCGAAGTACAATTTGTTTGATCCTCTCCAAGTCTCGTCGTTGACGTGAACACTAGCACACTGAAACTACGCAATGAGATCCGGCATTTTTTTTTTTTAAGTCCCGCACAGTGTGTTAAGTGTATAAAATTTCTGCAGGACACCTGGGTTACTATAAGAAACACCCCGGGTACACCATTGTCAAAGGAGACGACCGGCCCCGGGCCTTTTCTTCCACCGAGATAGTCAGGCACGCCTGGCTTCTGAACGTTAATACACAATTGTCGCTGCTGGTAGAACCACGGAAGCCGCGAAGCGTACGAGTCGCGTAGACGTCGCGCTTGGAATTATCCACATCGGCGGGCCGTGTCAGCGACGTCTATGCGACGATCCGTCTTTTGGGCTTGAACAAAGACTAGCCCTCATTCAAACGATCGAATTGATATAGTTGCACTGCAGCTACTTAGCATAAACGTGGTCCGGGTATTTCAAAAGAGTAGTCGGGATTCTAATCTCTTATCCTAATTATAGTATAACTCGCTTGCATCTTACTTCATGAAATACCGCATGATCAGACGAGTCGCTGCTCTCGCTAATATAATTTCACCATGTTAGGTACGAGTGCGATATCTTTCCTTTTATATTCGTTTATAAGAAAACAATCTCACTTTGTACTCGTGTGAGCGCTAAGTGGTCGTCCCCTGCGCATGTGACGGGGAGTAATAGCTTTTTTTTTTTGTTCCTTTGAGTACGACTTTCTCCTTTTCTTTGATCGCATCATTTACAAAAATTTTGTCCCTACAACTTATGAGTTAGGAAAAAAATTAGTATCGGTCATCACTTCGTGAATATACTCTATACATGAAAAATATAATTTTCATCGTGGAAATACAAACGATCGCAAAAATACAAAGGATCGCATTATCGGAATTAGTCACCAGCAACGACCAGAGTATAAGCTAGCTTTTTACAGTACAAAATACAGCTCCTGCACATATGCATAAATATATGTATACACATATGCGGATATATATATATACATATACCTAGTAACGAAGTATTTTCAGCAACATGTAAGGATATAGTAAGGTTGGTACACTTCCTTTTCTGTGTGTGGGATTTCCTTTTATCACCTATCATCAACAGTCAAGCGATAGTATGAACAATATGAATCTATGCCTTGTTAATAATTATGATTGTACGTACAAAATGTGTCAACTTGTACAGACCACTGTGTTTATATGTATATATACATACATATCGATGTAGCAATCATTTCGGACGTATCTTGGTATTAATTACAACGTATCTTCTTTTTATGTTCAGAAAACTGTAGAAAGCGCACACGTTTTCTCTCTTTCTTTCGCCCTACTTCGAGTGCGTTCCATTTGACTCTCATAACGCTCACGATCATTAAGTTCTTGTACAACATGCGATCAACTGCCAAGGTGACGTTCCACGAACGTTGCGAGCATCAAATGGAACGCACTCTTTGTCAAAGTCGGAGGGTATGAGTTTAGTTGCATATAAACCTGTAAACACTGTGACAATCCTACAATTATACTTCGCTTTTGTCCGTACCTATACATACTAGATAAGACCAGTATAAGAAAAAAAAAAAAAAAAAACAAAAAAACAGAAAAGAACACAAAATACAGGGTACGATCAACATCAGGGTTGGCATAGGATTTTTGCGGTTTTAGATTTCCATGAGAATTCAACGATTTGCAAATTATAAATTTGGTGAAGTCACAAAAAAAAAATCGATAACACTGATCAATATGCTACGAATTCTTCGAAGCATATTTTTATTGGTCAGTTAGTAAAATTTTTTTCTTCTGATTAAGATAAATTAAATGCTTTGTAGAAGACTTTGACCGCACCCATAAAAATAGCTCGGTGAAATCCTCATTACATCCTTACACATTAAAAATTAGCGTTACTAAATCTTATTTTTATGCATTCAGGGTGCCGGCATGTGTTCTCGCATACTTTCCTATTTTCTCGCGTTCGCTTCCGAATCCTTTTCTTTTACTTCTTTCTTTCGTTCCTTCATTTGTCGATTTATGAGTGTCGGCTAGAGAGTTCGAGAGGGAGGACCGGAGAATACAAGATGCGTGGATGCGAAAAGTGGTGCGACGTGAGCCCGTGCCTTGTGACTCGTTCGTGAATCTGTGTTCAATGGCGAAGACGTTCTTCTCTGTCAACGGGTGGCGACCCGTATATTTTTCATTATTTTCATGTTTGCAATCGAGGTATCGTATCGTAAAATTTGTTTTATTTATACAAATGCGAGAGCCGTCGAGGATACGCGTGGAGGTAGTCTTGCGCGTTACATCAACACATCACGCAAAACCGCCAAACACGCGCCAAATCTCGGCGAGGCTACGTGTGTGCTTCCCGAGAATCCATACATCTTGCATCAGAAAATAATGCGCATACGAGACAGTTTGAAAGTCAGGGGACAGAGGATTCATGTCTCTACTCTAATTCAATAGAATGTTTATAATATTATTACATAGGTTGTGTATGTATATGCATGGCATATGGAGATGTGTGTGTTGTGTGTGTGTTTGTGTGTACGTATCATATACGTGTAAATGTAAATGTTAGACGTGTTACTCATAGAATGAACCCTGCTCTCATTCACACGTAATAGCAAATGGTACGTGTACAAGTGTTGGTGTTTAACAGCAATAAAAACTTAAAAGACATCATTTAAGAAAAAAAAATCCTTGCGAAGAGAACAACGGTGGGCAGAGAGGGGAAGGAGATTAGGAATAAGGGCGAGGAGGGCTGGGGAGCAGACTGACTTCTGGGAGTTAGGAGCATGGAGAGATAGAAATCTGATTATGACAACGACGACGACAATGGCGACGACGACAACGAAATCGACTCATTGCAACCACAATGTGGTTACAATCGTGAACGTGTCGATGACGATGACGGCGGCCACAATGTCCTCGTTGATACAAATTGTATGCATCACGATATAAGTCCGCACATCTCTATCTACCAATCCCCGGGAACGGCGTGCGCGACGGTAAACTGCTTATCATTATTAAGCGAGCGGCACGGATTCCGGTTATCTCCTACTTCCTATCATCCTGATCGCATTCGCGGCTTATGTGACCAGTCTTGCCGCAAATGTAGCAAGTCTTGCCACCGGCCTCGGTGCAGTTACGAGCGATGTGGCCCGTCTTGTTGCAGTTATAGCAGCTCTGCAGTGCAAAACGGCCGGAATCATTACCACCCTCTGGGCAGCTGCGCGCCATGTGACCAGTCTTGTTACAATTGTAACAACTCAACTCCGGTCCCTGTCAACAGCAATACTTGTCCAATCTGTTCCACATGTATGGCACCTTCGCGTGTTCCGTATGCAATTCCAATTTCGCAGGTGTACTAACCTGCTGACAGTCTTTCGCAATATGACCAACACCGTTGCAGCGGTAGCAAAGATCCTGATCCTCCTTACATTCACGTGCAAAATGTCCAAATTGGTTGCATTTGAAGCACTTCTCTCGGCCACGTCCAAAACCACCGTCTCTGTCTCGTCCACGATCTCCTCTACCTCCGCCACCACCTTGTGGGCACTCTCTTGCAAAGTGCCCCATACGGTTACATTTATAACACGCGCTCGAACTCATTTTTTTTTTAAGACCTGAAATTGTATACATATAGATCAATATGCACACGCACACATACACAAATGTCACTACATTGAGATAATTCTAACAATACTGCAGCAACATTGCGATGCTTCAACAATGTAGCACCATCGTTACAATATTCTAGCAATATTGCAACCACATTGCAACATTCCAATGATATTGCAGCAACATTGCAACGTTCCAATAATATTGCATCATCATTGCAATGTTCCAGCAATATTGCAGCAACGTTGCTGCAAACTTATGCGATATACATGAGCATATAATATTGATTCCTCATATTACGTATCCATTTTTTTACGTCGCGACATATGTTACATATTACATGTTCGATACAATTACATTACAACCTCAGAAATAATCGCGAGGAATAACACGTTCGAGTTGCTCCACAAATGGGGGGGGGGGGGGGGGGGGAAAGATCTAGTCAACGTGCTTCGAGAACATCGCCCGACGAAGAAAGTGCAATTATTCAGTCGTCGTTTTCGGAGAAACAAAGGATCCCGCGTATCCTACGGAAACGATCGTTCGCTATAGCCCCCACAACGGTGGCTGGACCTGCCATGTCCGATCGTGCGTCTCGTGCGCGGCACGCTCGCTCGCGTCGCGCACGACGCACACAGATGTCTCCTGACGCCGCGCGGCGCGCGCCGCGGGGCGAACGGGGGCAGAGGCGGCACTCCGAGTGAATATGCACTTTATCCGTCGGGGCGATTAGACGAGGCGCGGGGTCGGCGCGGGCAGACGCACAAGCTCGCGCAGGCAGGAAGCGGGTCGGCCGCAGCGGACCGGATCGTCCAGGAGGACGACGGATGACCCCACGCGCCGTGCTGCACCGTCGCGCCGCATGGCGCCGCCGGCCGGATCAAAAGCGATCGAAGCGGCAGCCGGTGGCCCCGCCGAGCGTGGCGCGTTTAATAAGATGGCATCTTTCCCGCCCCCCCGAGTCTCTGCCGGCTCGCGTCGAGAGTCTGGGTCGAGTCTCGGAGGCGGAATTGGCGGAAAAAATCGCGACGGACGCGTTGCACGTGCTACGCGAATCCGCGGCGCGCGGTCGTCGGGCAATGGCGGGCGGGCGTGCGGCCGAGAGAGCGCGTGCACGAGGTCAGCGACGCTGGCGTCCGTCGGATGTTTTCGCGCGCGCGACGTCCGCGTCCCGCCGTCGCGACAAAGGGGGAATAATTACTGCGGGATCGCTGGCTGTAGCTCTTTACCGTGCTTCCGTCGCTCGACAACTACGGATTACACCACCTCCAGCACCTCCTCCGGGCTCGCGACGCGCCGTACAACGTGGCTGGCTCGGTCGGCTCGCGCGCGCTCTGTCTCTCTCCGTACTCACCCCCACTTGGCAACGCCGGCGTGTGTGCGTGCGAGCGCGGACGTACGGCGTATGTACTCTCTCTCTCTCTCTCTCTCACTCTCTCTCTCTCTACACGTACGTACGCGTTATACGCGCGTACGCCGCGCGGCACGGCGCAGCGCGGCGCGAAGATGGCATCCGAAGAGCGACGCCGCGCGCGCGGAGCTTTTTTTTTGCGCCGCGCACGGAGGAAAGATCGCCCCGATGGCGACGGCGGCGACCGCGTATCCCACCCGCTTCCGTCGTCGTCGACCGATAACGACGACGGAGACGCGCTGCCATCGCCGCCGCGCATTCTGCCCCGAAATTACCCCGCCGCGGAAGCCCCCCCTCGGCGAAAGCGATTCGTTCAGCGATATTCCAACGGAAAAATGATAATCCATGTCCGCCGCCCGGATTAGATCGCACGATGCGACGTGTGAACGAAGGCAATTGCATAAAAAGCACGTGCCGTAGTAGGGTGACCGCATGCACGGCTTTGCGAATAGGTTTCCGTTAAAAGAGCCGTTTGTGCTGCTCTTACTCCAGCGGCGGCGCAACGGTGTGCTCCGTGTGCCATGGGATTGACGCGGAAAATTTTGAGCCCCGGTCACCTCTATTGTCCGTCCACTTACCTGCTTAGGTACAAATTACTGGGCTGTGGAAAGGACTATCGGTACGACGTCTTTTTCCGTATCGGTTTGCCAAAAGAGTGATGAAGGTACCCAACACCTCACTCGACCACCACACTTTCGAGCAAAGTGCTCACGAAGACCTCCGACCATGAAAGAGGAAAGATTGGTCACAGCGGCCAGTTACTATCCCTGTGGAATAAAGGTGGGAACGCAAACTTATGCGTAATGGAGAGGTCTCTACGCTTGTACTTTTTGCACTCGGCGTCCTCACTTTCTTTCCTTCCAAACGTCCATATATATTTATCTCTTTTTAAGTGCAAACATCTTTGGAGATTTCAAGCAACGCGAACAAAGACTTTATTGGCTCACTAGGAGCCAGTCTAACCAACTTCGATTAACTTAATTATCCAAATTAACTTGAAGTATAGCTAACGGCGAAACTGAAAATATAATTTTTATTGTGAGAAAGACCCAGAACGATTTATAGAGTTTTTCATTGGCAAAATTAGTGCGCGATCGGTCCACTTCAAAACTGTTGTATGTAACATAAATTAGGTACATCGAGAATAATGGGAGTTTGTAACCCCTGATTTTACCCATCATAATGGGCGCATTCAGCAGAAAAGAGCGCTACGAGAGCGCTCGCTGTTATTGGTATATTCTTCCAGATTTAAAATTCTGATTGGATGATCTAGAAGAATACACCAATAACAGCGAGCGCTCTCGTAGCGCTCTTTTCTGCTGAATGCGCCCAATGAAAGTACGCTCCCAGCGCTACGGAGCATAGCGTAAAGCGCTCATGTAGCGACTTTCTCTGCTGAACGCAACCATTGTCTTGGGCTTAAGATGTACGGTTTAAAATAAAAACAGACTGTTGAATAGCAGCCCGTGAGTGTAACATACATACAAAAGCCAATACATTTGTATGCATGCGCGCATTATTAAAAATACAAGCAGGCTTAAAAATTTCGTTTCTGCACTGAAGATGACACAGCGTATTTCTACGTGCGCGTAATAAAAAGTTTTCGAATTTGACTGTACTAGAAGGGCACCTGTCTTCAAGTTTTATGCTTTCTCTTAGCTCGCACTGGGCTGTTGAGTGTTAATTTTAGTATAGATATAATTCAATAATGTAGTAATCGAATATTAAATAAGAACAAATAATACAAACGTGTGAACGTCTAAGCAAACACATCAATCAACTAGTGATATCCAATGAAAGCTCCGCTTTCGCACGTATGATGATGTAAAGAATTTTCATTGGATATCACTCGTCGATCTTTGGCTGTGTTCCATTTATGCCCATTTCCACCAATGCAGATTAACTTTAATCTCGGTTTAACTTACCGTTAATCTTTTTCTAATTTTTAGAATGAGAAAAAGATGAAGAGCAAATTGAACTAAGATTAAAATTAATCTGCATTGGTGGAAATGGGCATTAACGTTTACAACGCTCTTGGAATCGTTTCATGCTTATTGTTTATCAAATATCAAATAAGGAAAAACGATGCTTGTAAGCGTTGCGAACGTTAAGTGAAATGCAGCCATTTGTTCACCGTGTATCCAAGAATTAGGATATATCCACACAAATTTATATAGCTGCATAATTTTCAGTAAAAATTTCCGAATTGACCGAATGGAATCTCTCGAAAATCTTTTTATAAGATTAAAGTAAACGCAAGATTATATGTAGAAGGTGGTGCAATGGACTTTTTACTAAAAAATTGAGAAAAATTAAGTAAATTTCTAATCTAATTTTTTATCGATTTTAGTATAAAGTCCACTATATCTCATATAAATATATATATATATAGGTACGGTGAACGCTAAAGTCACGTTATCCTTTTCTTAATTAGATGTGAAGAAAAAGATAACGTGACTTTAGCGTTCACCGTACCTGAGATAAACGATATTGCAAAAACTACCTAATAACGAATAACGGGAACGAGTTATTAGGGAGTTTTTGCAATACCGTTTATCCCAGATACGGTATTGCAAAAGCTTCCTATTTTTTTTTAGAAAAAAGAACGATAATGGGTTATTTTTATGAGGTAACGTTGCCAACCCTGTATATATATATATATATATAATATTTTAATCTTATAAGAGGATTTTCGATTCGATTCGATCAATTCAAAGATTTGTATACGACTGTAATGTCAATAATTTTGGTCACTCCAGCATTGTCTTTATATAAATCGTAAGAAATTGACCAATTACAATATATGTACGAAAGAATCTTATAATTGATTTTCACTACATAATAAATATATAAAATATCAAATTTTCTAACTAATGAAAATAAATTATAAACTTAAATTTATTTAATGAAATATCTAAGTTTCCTCTTATTTTTACAAATTTTTCTGATTATTATTATCTTTTATCATTTTATCGTTTCTTTTGGATTTATTCATGTGAGCTTTGTGATTGTTTTTTTTATTATCTTCTTGCCATGAATAAGATTTTATAGTAATTATTATATTTATGTATGTATAATTATTAAATAATTATATATATTAAATAATTCTAATTTTTCTTTTTTTTCCTTTAAACTACTTACTTGAATATTTGTTGTTTGGAAGATGGGATGAAGAAGAGGCATAATAAATACAACGGTACCTTTCTTATACTTACTGCATTTTTGTATTTCATATATATATATAATTTTATGGGAGCTTTCCAACAGGAGATATGGATGATACAGTGAAACAGTGAATCATTACATCCTTGTTATTTGCCAATGTTAAACAAAGATGAAATGATTGTTAGTATTTTATGAAATATCGGATAACCTATGTGCTATCATTTCATTATAATTTAACGAAATAATTCTACAAGATACTTTATTACCTTTTATGTTCCCAATATTATTAGAAATATGTTGACTTACAGAACCAGAATGTGCACCAATAAGAAAAAAAAAAAGAGAAAAAGCAAATTACAATTGTAACATTTATATAAGCATAAAATTTTAAACATAAAAGTTAAAAGAAAAAAAAAAGAGAAAAAGCAAATTACAATTGTAACATTTATATAAGCATAAAATTTTAAACATAAAAGTTAAAAAAGATTAATTTAATTATAGATTTCAATTAATGATTCGTGTTAATTTCAATCAATTGACGCTAAAAGTTAACTAATAAAGGAGCCTACAGACCAGAGCGGTGAAGCGGCGAGCGATAGCCAATGAGAGCCATGCTTTTACACAAAAGCATGGCTCTCATTGGCTATCGCTCGCTGCTTCACCGCTGCGCCACTATGGTCTGTAGGCTCCTTAAGCTGTGTTCGAAGAGCACGTTGCCAACAAAAGGAGGTGATTCACTTGCACACAGTTGTAATTGCCAATTACAACGACTTCTGCATAGGAAATTGAAAAAAAATCTTTTTAGCGCTGATTGATTTTTGCGTAATTGATATACACCTTGTTCCAAAACATAACTAAAGGTCTGTTCTTTATCGAAGAATTCTTAACTAGTGTAATAAGTTAGAGTAAAACAAATTATAATTGTACACTATAACTCTCTTTCATAATGAATAAGAATAGACCGATGATGTTTGAAACCAAGTAAAAAAAAAAGATGTACAATAGATGCCCCGTGTAGCTTTCTCTTTCTTATATATAAATATATATATATATCACATGTCCGTATATTTTTAAAATAAATTTAAATTTAATTGCTCGAAGGAAAAAAATTCTGCAAAAATGTGATAACCCCAACTGGTGCAACTGGTTACGTCTTTAATGCTAAAAAGATGAATTCAATAATTGCGTTATCAGGGAATGACTTTTCTTTACTACGTTTAATTAATGCAAGCAAATGTGCGCAAATGAAAGAAAAACAATATGTACATATTTCTCACAGTTGTGATACAGTTCACTAGTCGAAACCAATAAAATCATTCGATGGCTGACCATATATCATATTTACAAGTATCCACGCATTGCAAGTGTTTCAAGATATTCATTCATAATGTTGCAACTTTTCGGATTATATTCATGGAAAAATAACAAAAATAATTAAATATATAGCTACAAAAGATGTAAAATAAAATGAAAGCTTTTTGAAATATACATAATAGGTATTCCAATGCGTTATAATTAAAATAATATAACATTTGTCACATTCGCACGATAAATAATTCAATCAAATTATTTTTATCTTTGTCAAATCTATTATTTTAGGACAAAAAGTAAATAAAAGACACGCGGGAAAAATTTTGACGTGACTTAATGAGACTTGCGCAAGTTCTGATATCATTGAAGCGACTTAATTATAAAAAATGCTCAAATGAAAAAAAAATACAATGATATTCTTCCATAATAGTGTCCTCATACGATCGATTTTTAATATCTGTATAAACATTATAATAGAATGTGTACATATTTGTTGCTATCAGTTTAACTCACCGAGATTCTCGTCAAGATTCTTGAACGAATAAATATTAGCATTATTATTTCTCTCTCGTATACTGATCGTATACAGATGGATTTGTCAAAGTCAAATTACATTAGAATATGAGAAACTTGTGTGCTTTCCAACAAGCATTGTTTTTCAACATAGTATAATACAGTGATCATGTCATCCTTGTTTAACATTGGCGAACAACAAAGATGTACTGATACACTGTGTCATCTGTGTCGCTTGTTGGAAGGCACCCATTAGAACTTCAGAAAATAATTTGATATCTTTAATATCAATGAGCTATGTCATAATCACAGAGGTAGCAGCTCAAAATAATTAAAGAAAATTAAAGTCAATTATAAAAACTAAAATTATACCAAAAAAAAAAAAAAACAAAATTTGATGTCAACCAAACTGAATAGCGATTAATTTTAATACTATTCGTTATAACTAAAGTTAATCACCAATCATACAACGAATTCGGGAGAATAATTTTTACTTGGTACAGTACCTCAACCGAGCAAAAAAGAAATAAACCTTCAATCTGTCAGTTTGTCCTTCACGCTGACCTGGCTATCATTAGTTATATAATAAATGGTTGGCTTGTTTAATGAACCAAGCATTTACATGTTGGGATTTTTTATTTGATTTGGTATGAATTTAGTACTTATTTAGTATCAAATGTTCGGTATAATCTATATTCGTATTTTTACTATGTTGTCGGTAATCTCGAAAACGCTGCACAATCTAAACTCACCTTCTGCACCTTTGATGTATCGCTAGGCTTTATGATCATGTAACATTTGTTCGAATATCTTGTTATTTCAGATTGTCTTTTTTCAGAATAAATTGGAATAAATGTACCAGTTGATGTAATATTACTGCAGCTTATTGTCGTACTTCGTACCTTTTCTGAATATTTTCCAACATCTCTCCTTCTTTTTTCACTGCAACTTAATCCGTCTCTTCCTTTCCCGCTTGAGTCAAGTTACTCTTTTATCGTTTATGTATCATCGATGTACTCCTGCTTCTCATCGTATATACAGAGTGTTCTGCGAGACTTCTCCAATCTCGCACAGAAAGGTAAATAAAGTGACGATGCCAGGCGCCGAGCAACAACGCACTTCCCCTCTCTTGCCTTTCTAATCGCACTGCCAACGCAGCCCATGTTTGAAAAAGTGGGCTGGGCTATAACCTCGTGCGGTCGGAGCGTTTCTCAAAACGCGCTCTCATTAGTTTCAAAAATTAATATCTGTATTAATAATGTGAGAATCGTTAAACAGTATAGGACTTATGTATTTATTTTGATCTTATCTACCTTCTTGTGCAAGATTGGAGAAATCTCACGGGACACCCTGTATATTCTGTTTCCGTTTCACAAATACTTTCTTCAGCGGTAGCTGCTGCTCATTTTCAAACTTATCATGTTACTCTGGTAATATCTTATCAATCGCCTCGTAGTTCTGCTACATTTTCTTCGCTTGCAACCCTCAATCTTAAGTCTTGATTATTATACCGCTTCTCCAACTGCTTCAACTTCTCCTTGGGTTTTCTGATCCTGATCCCGGACGATCAATTGCTTCTCTTCCGAGGTGTCCGAGCTCTTTGGCATATCATCACTGGATGACATCGAAGTCTTCATCTCGGACTTCCCATTTGTAATACCTTCTGTTTCTTGACATTGTTTCGCAGATTGCAATATCGCTTGTACCAAATTCTGATTGTTATCGAGTGGTACCTTCGTTACTACTCGCTTTACTATATTGCCAGTCGATAGATTTGTCAGTTTTGCAGAATCTATCATGCAAGTTCCATCAGGATTCATGATAACTTCATGAATATTGTCATTCCGTCGGATAATTCTACTAACAATCACTCGCTTAATCTTACGCGAGTCGGGACTATCGTTCAAAGAAGAGTCTTCATCCTTAATACCAGATGTACTAGCTGATGTTCCTTCGCTACTACCTCCTTCTGATTTCCTCATCACAATTCTTTTAATCGTTTTAACCTTGATGGTATTTGGAGTGGATGCTAGGGTTTCTGCCTTATCGTCGTTCTCGTGATTTTCTTCTTCTTGATAAGAGCTCTGAATTCTTGTCACAGGTGTTAGTAGTTTCTGATCTTGATCGTTGTGCTGATGTTTTAGCGGAGTATTCTGTTCTTTGAATACTGAGGTGACGATTTTTTGCGCTTGTGTCTTGATGTCATACACGTGATCGCTTTTGGGAGTCTCCTTGATTTGCGATGACGTGAGACTTTTCGAGCTGCTTTGAGAAGAAGAATCGATTGAAGTAGTTTGTTTCGTGACTATCTGCTTTTGAATATCGCTTTGCTGAATGGGAATTAGTGTCGTGATCTTGACCATATTGCCATCTTTGCCGCATATGTACACCACCTTGGGTTCTTTCTTTTCTTGTTTCTCGGATTTTTCTGTCTTGTCTTCTCTATTCTGTTTTTCTTTGTTTTCACTTTCTGAAGGCATTGGCGACTTTGGTAACTTCTTTACAACGCACGCTGGTAGCTCGTGATCACCGTCTCCGTCATGTTGATCTTTTTCTTTTTTTTCCTTCACGTTAGACTTTAGTTCCAGATTTTTCTTGGTATTAGGCTGTAACTTGTTCGAGTCTATTTTCTCACCCGCTTCGATATGTTGCTTGATATGGATGACGTAATCGGTGCGATTACGACAAAATTCTTGACAAACATCGCAGTTGAGACCCAGGCGTGCATGCTTTATGCGCATTAACTTAAGCATCTCTGAATTCTTCTTACTGCATTTCTTGTGTACACGCCGCTTATCCTTCGAATGGGACATACGCATGTGTCTAGTCAAATGATGCGATAACAGGAACGTACGAGGACACAATTTGCACATATATGGTCGAGGACCAGCATGGGTAGACAGATGCCGGGCCAGTTTTGTACAAGTATGGAAAGTCTCTTTACAGTAATCACACATAAACTTTTTATCCTCATTACTATGCAACGTTTCGTGCCGTTGTAAACCCTGTTTGTATAGGAAACGCTTGTTGCAAATATTGCACTCGAATCGCTTCTCTTTCTTGTGTGCTGAATCCTTGTGCTTTTCGAGTTCTTCTGTAGTGAAAAATTTGTCGTCGCAATGGGGACAGGCGTAATGCGTCTCATCTTTATGTAACTTCTGGTGACGTTGCAGCGAAGTCAGTCGCGAGAACTGCTTCTGACAGACTGAACATGAATACGGCTTCACCTTCGAATGTATACTCGAGTGCTTGTGCAAATCGTGTTTGTTGAAAAAGTTTTTTCCGCACTCGTTACACTTGTAATTGCGAGCGCGATGAACGCGCTGAACATGCAACAGCAGAGCCTGACGTAATGCGAACGTACGTTCGCATTGATTGCATGAATGTACTCTGAGTATCTCTGCCGGCTTTTGTTTCCTTTCTTCTTCAATGTTACTCGCATTTTGTGGTTCATTTTCCCTCTCTCTCTTCTGTTTTCTAGTTTCACATGTCTCGTCATTAGAAATGCGTCGCTTTTTCGAAGCCTCGTTCTGCGATATAGATTCGGCGAGTCTTTTGTTGCCGTTCTCCGTTGGAGGATCAATGGGGATGGGCGGGAAGGGTTTCGGCAATTTTCCAGATAGAAGATAATCTCTTAATGCCTCGTCAGCCTTCTTGCATTGCAACTTGAATTTATACGAACGGTCCAGATTCCAGCGGCACATATTACAGATCACCTGTGGCATCTCGTCTTCGGCATAGACCTATCAAAAAACAAAACGAGTCATTAGGAACGTGCTTACTAATCGAGGAGCTGGGAAAAAGTCTCTTCATACTGCGCGTTTATTCTTGAAAAATATATATACGGAAATACTAAGAAAATTTATAATTACATTCCATTCTACTATAAAAAACAGTCCTTTATTTCAGGTAGCTATCTTTCAGATTTGTGTAATTTTTCAAAATTCAATTTTATTATTTATTTTAATATTACAGGAAATTCCATTCTACTTAGACATCTCCAATGTCTCAATAAGAAAGAATAAAATAAATTTTCTCTTGTTTAAACCGTTTATTTATTAAAATAAACCACTCGCACGTTTAAAATTTCTAAATCTCATCTTAAGGTGAAAACTGCAAAGAGAAAAAAATTAAGCGAGCAATGCAAATTAATCATCTCCTGTTGGAGGAATCGCGATGTCACGTCGGATCGGCCAACAGTATTGCTGCTTATATTAACGTACGATCGTTAGAGGTTTTCTATAATAAATATAATAATTTTCTATAATTTTGATTAATTTCTTATGACTTGAGACTTAAACTTAGATAATAGTTTCTTATAGAAGATTTAAAGCGGCAGTATAGATATTTGCATAACGCTCCATAATTCATAAGATATAAAGAATGCGTTCGGGAAGATGCTATTCGCGGTATTTAGTGCTACCAAGCTGTTCGCAGAACTGCAGACAGCGCTAACAAACACGATTATGACGTCATAACGACGCAATAGTCAACGCTATTCTTTCTAAGGTAGTGTATTGGTAGCATTAGCGTTTGTAAGCTCTGTGAACGACTTCTAACGTAGCGTTGGTAGCATTTAACATTCGTCGAGGATTCGAAGTTAGATTAATATAGAGGATTCTCTCTCTGCATATATTTAGGCTGTATATTATTCGGCATTGTATTTATAATGCTGATTCAGTATACAATAACAATGAGTCAGTAGTCCTAAGTCTTATCGGTAAAGTTGACCAATAGGCAACTTACGACTAACGCTGATTGACCAACTTCATCGATTAAGATTAAGACTTCCGACTACAGATTCATTATAGAATCAGTTTAATGGCTAATTATGAGGAACTAGAGTTTCAAGATGCAAAAATAAATTAAAATTATAAACTGCGTCTCTCACCGAATACTGCCTATAAAACACAAATCACGTTCCTCTTATGTAATAAAAGTAGTAGATTATGATCATTTGATTTTTAATTGTGATTTTACTCGGTTTTTATTCTAATTCTATTGTGCAACACAAATAAGAATTTCCAGAGTTTCATTTAATTCTATATCAGATTCTCGTCTTACAATAATTTCTTATTTACTTAAATATATTAATGTAACCAACTCTGTATGGCTTTTGTTATAATTTAATTTCGAAATGCTAACTACTTTTTGCATTCATTTCCTGTGAATCTGTAACATCTAATGCGTGCTTTACGAACATTTTTCCATAGACAAAAAATGTTTTTTAGCAAGGGATACGATTGTTTACCATTATTTAACAAAAAGATGAAATAATTTACTGTGACATTTTTCATTAGTTTTTTGCTGAAACTTTTATTATGTCAAAATGTGTGTTGGGAAGACGCTACCAACGCTATGCTAGGATCGTTCAAAAAATTTGCTGACATTATTGCGCTATTGGATTAACGAACAATGTTGATAGCGTTTGTATTTATAACGTGAATAGCGTCTCCCCGAACGCAATCAAGATATAAGAAAATCAATTAAAGTATGAAGGATTAGTTGTTTCTTTTATGACTTATGTGTTATACAGCATTGTGTAAATTTGTACTAGTCTTTATTGGCGAAGAGATTTTAGTAAGGCACCTCCAGCAGTCAATATCATCGTCTGTTGAAGGTATAATTCAAAGACATAGAGCACAAATTGCACTATCCATATCTGAATAATAATCTAATGCAGTCAACAAAAATGAAAGAGAGCGTTCTCTAATATTATACTCATTTTTATAGATTAAGTGTAAATGCACAGTCTATGCTCTGACGGTATTCATTGTTCTCATTTTAAGACTGTCTTAAGTAATGTCATAAGATATTAATATAGCTCTTTAACTAGTATTCATAATTAGTTCTTATTTCAAGTAATGTCTTAAGCTATTAAAATTGTTCTGAGTATATGATATCTATAGTTTATGCCTAGAGAACAATATGTTCAAAATATAGACATAAGATAATCTAAAAACAAGATGTTTTTCAGATACGATGTCATAAAGATATCCTTAAGAACATCTATAAGACACATTTTATTATCTTTTGAACATGTATGCTGCATAGCTAACATATTTAAGACTTAAGACAGTCTTAAATATAAGATTCAACTATGAATACTAGTCTCTGATTGACTTATCTTAAGACTATACCTGAAACTGTCTCAAATATATTTGACATTCTCATAAGAATAATTATAACAATCTTATAAAAGTTGATTATGAATACCGGTCTGTCTTTGGTATTGTTGGCAGCAGGGCCACTCACCTCTCAAATCTCACCTCGATAGCAACGCAGGACATGATCTGTAATGTGAGTGGCACATGGACTGATTTATTATCAGTGCGCTCGTAGATGGAGTTCAGTGGTCTCGAATCCGATAAACAGAATCGACAAATACGCTGCGAGTACAATGGTTCCAGACTATTCTCCATGATTATATTCTGTTATTCACTGTAAATATTAAAATCTGTATATATGCTATGTTAGCTATAGATTTTCCAGAGTGCATTTCTCATATGCTGGAGTATCTGTTCAAAGTGTAATATTACACACTGAAGTTGTCTCATCAAATAGAACAATTCTTGGATATTTGTGCACATATATGACATTAAAAAAAAGTATATGTATATATAATACTAAACTCAGATATAAAACTTGTAACACAATATATTCTTTATTTTTATATACAAATACAAAACTGATAGAACTAAAATATAACCTACAATGTAATTTTACATATATTTGACTGTCGCGCTTTAATATACAATATTGTTCTGCGCATGTGAGACGTTTTTCGTCAAAGTTCCGACGAAAAATTATCGTTCAGGACAAGGAATGCACCCCAGTTCCCAGTATAGTAAGTACTTACAGTACATAACAGAACGCACCTCGAGTCTACTGGTGTTTCTTTCTGCTCTCTCCTACTACTTCACTCTTCTTCCTTGTCCTTCTTCGATAATGCGTGCCAATATACTTCGTCCTTCGGATTCAAGGATGCTTGTATCCACTTGGCAATTGCGCGCGTTTAACTCCGTGGTTTAACTATACTCGCCATTTGATAGTGTGTTCGTGTTCGTTCATGAATATGCTACTGGAATGTCCGACTCGGACAGTCCAAACTGTCAGAGTCCGAACTTTCGAAGCACTACTCCAAAGTATGGTAGAAGAAACTGGAAGAAACCCAGATGTGTTTTTGCGCATTTTGAACAAGAAGTGCGGTATCCACATATATGTAATATGGGTATCCAGAGACCTGTTCTTTTTCTCTGCACTGTGCCCACAGTGCAATAAGTTGAAGTGAAACAGATATACGTTTGTTTCACTTCAATAGTCAACTTATTGCACTGTCTGAACTGGTGCAGACAGTGCAGGCAAAAAGAACAAGCCTATGATGTTGTCGCAATTATTTGAAGGTAAAAGCCCATGGTGCATAGAAAAACGTAAGGCCGTAAACGTAATCAGTAAGCGAATTGGCCAATCACAGTAGAGACCGTAAGGCCAGTAGCAAATCCAATGTTACGATTTCCTTACTGATTCGTCTTATGGCCTTACGTCACAGTGGGTGTTTTCCAACAACGTACACAGATGACACAGTGTAACACTGTGTCTTACACAAAGTGTTCCAACTGTGACACAGTGTTACACTGCTCGACACTGTAAAAAGCTAAGTACGAACGTGTAGAGTATGCCAGTGTTACCAATTAGAGCTCTATCGTTCCAACAAGTCTTTACACAGTGGAGCACAGTGTAACGTTTCTGTGTCCTAGCTGGAAAACAGCCAGTATAAGTAAGTACAGTAGTTTCACTCCGTGTCGGTACCTTTGATCTATGTGTCCTACAGTCAGCCATGTTGTTGGTTGTGCGAGGCCTTTGTTTTCACTGCACACATCGACACCACAGTGACATACAGTGACACAGTATCCATACGTGACATCGACGCTATGATGACAGTGGTGCGATTCGCGCACCCATAAATTTTGGAGAGTAAAACTACTGTACTTACCTATACTGTGCTTACGTTTTCTATGTGCCACGGGCTTAAATGTTAGGGTGCCTTCACATGCGGCGTACTTTGCGTAAGCGTAACTTGCGTCAGCCAATCAAGTTTCAGTTATCATACGCAATCCGTCTAGTTTTTTCTACGCATTTTACGCTATTTCCAAATACGCCAAATCCAATTTTTCGCGTAAACCGATGGATGTAGGGTGCGCTCCCATAGGATGCGGAACTGCGGATATACGGAACGTTCATGATGGTCGCGACGTCATTCCGCCGATTCCGTCGTTTTCGTTGCGCAAATTATTTCTTTTGCGGATTCCGTCGATGCTGCGTGTGTGTGTTTGTGTGTGTGTGTGTGTGTGTATGAAGTTTGTGCATGAAATAAATTTTAAACGGAAGAGAATTACACTGGCCAATACATAGAAGAAGAAGAAGAAAACTGTCTTCTACATAAGAGCTCATTAACGTGTGTCTGCAATGTCTATCTGCTTTTTTAAAGGTCCTAATCACTGCTATTAGGATAAACTTGGCCAATGAACTCAAACTGAAACACAATAATATAGACTCTTTAATCTGTAGAAATGGAAACAGCAAAAGTTTTAATAAAAAATATTATCTTGAAGTGTTAAAGTTCTTTATACATTTCTCTATTTGAGTAGGGTAAAATTAATATAAATTTAAAACAATTAGGAAACAGGGCTACGAGCCATAGATTCGTTAAAATATGAACTAATGGTAAATAAAAACTGTCATTTATTTAAAAATATAAAGTTTAATAAAAATTAAAAACATACGTTTCGACCTCTGTTAGGTCATTATTAATGTTATATAAGTCGCAAGTTGTTAATAACGTAAGAAATTATGAAATTATAAGAAACGCAAAAATTACACAGAAAAATATAAAAAATATATACAAAATGGGTGTTAAATATAAATTTAACTATATATAATATTCTAGTAAAAATATATAATTACAAAAATAAAATTCAGGGCTGGGCATGTATTTAAAATACTTTTATTTGAAAACAGTATTTGTAATACAATTGTATCATATATTTTGTATTTTAGTATTAATAATAAAAGATAGAAAGTATTTTGTATTTTAAATACTAAGATTGACGATTAATGTTATTATTTAAATTATGAAATACATAAAGCTTTCAACCTTTCAATTTTAAATACAAAATATGTAATACTTTCATGCACGCCACTAAAATATGAAATATAAAATCTACTTTTATTGCGAAAACTGTGTTTTAAATACAAATATTTTAAATACCTGCCCAGCCCCGATAAAATTCTTTTAGGATATCTGAGCATCCTACTTGCGTTTCAAAATATCTTCCCAGGCAGTATATGTTTCGATGTTTCGAAAATCCACTTACCTATTCAAAGGTCTATAGTGACTGTGCAAGCGTCTCCGTATTATCTGTATGTGTGATTTCCGTTCCGCTGAAATGTGTTTTCTTATGTCCCATGGAGCGGAATTTACGGATGCGCAATCAATGCGAGCCAATGTTATTCCAGTAGATCTAATGAAAGTGAACTACGGAAAGACTCTTGCGATTGGTCAACGCTATTGCGCATTCCGTAAATTTCACTCCATGGGACATAAGAAAACACATTTCAGCGGAACGGAATCGGCGGAATGATGTCACGACCAGTAAATGAACGTTTCGTAGTTCCGCATATCCGCAGTTTCGCATCCCATGAAAGCGCACCCTAAGGGCGGGTTCACACCTTGACGGAAAAGCGGAAAGTGGAAGAGCAGTTAACCGATCAGAACTCGCCTTGATAGTAAAAAGTACAAAACTAACAGAAAGTCGACTACTCGATTGGCTACTGCTTTTCCGTCAAGGTGTGAACCCGCCCTAACACTCCACTCAGCGCATTGACTGCTTCTCTTTCGACCTGAGGCAGTTGATGCGCCTGATGCGTTCATGCGGTCTATGTGCATGATTTGTAATTCGGAACGAGCAACGAGTACCGGACAATACAACAGTGAACGGACGAATATTTGCGATTTGCGATGGAACAGCGATTACAGCAATTGCATGAATTCCCGGTCTTATTAGAAGATAAAATGAAGTATTAACTTTATTTTTAAATGAAGAGGATATGGCGAAAGTAAGCGAAGATAAAATTAATGGCATTATTTTATCTTGATTTATTTAATGTATAGATTAGACGTTATATTAATCGGGAATTACGCGATCGACGTAATCTATAATTTTTTCAACTCCAATTTGTTTTCCACGTAATTTATCTACTATTATAATAGCAAAAATAACTTCTGCATATCACTTAAGAGATATGCCTTCGACTTCATTTTCACTATCGCTCGAGTCGGAACTGTCATCGGAACTTTCATCATTTTTCTTTAAAAGTATTAAAGAAGAAATTACAATTATTGGAAATTGTTTATTGACGTCTTGTATAGTGTCTATCTTGAACTCGCATAGAATGCATAGGAAATCGTTCCGAATAACTAAAGCGCTTCATGCATATTGACTAAACGAAACGATTTCAAAGCGTTACGCACCAGTAATGCAGTATACGCGCATCATGCGTAACTCGGAACGCATCTTAAGTTTGCCTACCTTGTGGGGGAGGACCACGGGCGACGACGTTGCTGCAAGCTCACGCCCTCTGTGGCCCTTTGTTCGTCCTTCCTAATTTGATGTCCTTGTCGCACTTGTGTAGTCGGTGATACTCGGTTTAGGAAATATGAAGAGGTAATGGCGTAAATGCGAAAGAATTTATCCGTTCTGTTAAATATATAGTGTGTATTTATTATGCAATGATTCAATAAAATTGTTACATAAAATCGCTCCGACGCGTACTCTTAATTCTATGAACTAAAGCTTACAAAATCGAGGTACAGCTGGATTCTAATTATCAGACTTACACACATGTACCATATACATTGAAATCACGGCAGTATTAGGAAGGAGTATGAACTCCTTAGCTTTTTCGTTCTAAAAACGATCCTCAATTTGTTTTCACCGATAGAGGCGCTGTTGTAGTTGAGCACCCGACCGTCTTCCGTTAGCGCAAATATTATTAGAACTAGTTTGTCTATTTTTACAATTTAATATTGCACAGCACTTTTTCACCATGTTTTATTGTATATTAAGTGAAAACGAGTCGCAATACTCCCGTGTATTACACACATGTGGACATGGTTCTACTACCTCCACAACTGGAAACGGGGTTCTCAGCGATAAAAGCGCCACGAATTCTTGCCGCTGCGGAGCTTACAGTAAACTGCAGAGTTGATACTCCTTCCTAATACTCCGTGATTGAAATTAAATGAAGTACACCCACGGTAATTAATTCTGTTCCTCGGAAATTTTCACAAAATAAAAAATGACCACCTTCCTATATTAATTGTCACAATCCATGCACGATTAACGTTACGACTGAACCTTATCGTGCATGAATAGTGACAATTAATATAGAAAGGAGGTCACTTTTCATTTTGTGAAAATTTCCGAGACAGAATTAATTACCGTGGGTGTACAATTACGAGTAATTACTAGGGAGTTATGACTATTACGTGAAGTTGACCTTAAGGATTGGAGTTAGGATTAGAATTGGAATTGGGATTAGAAGTTGAAAAATGAGCATGTGGTCTTACGTGGCACAGACGCTACTGCAGCTGGTCGCTGAGCAGGTCTTGATCGTATGGAAGCCGGACAGAAAGTTCATGGAAGGATTCCTTCCGAAGGGACTCGACGACGCTTCCCCCTACTCTCATATATTCGGGGCTTTGTTGCGCAATAGGAAGGAGTAATTTTAAGGCAGGCCTCTCTTATGGCGGCACTCTCGCCGACGCGACGCTTGAATCGTTACATGCAGAGGCGGCGTTACGTTGCGCTAGTAGTGTAACTGGAATTTAGAGGCGAAAAATATTGCGCGGACGTAACACCCCCCATGGTGAAAAATGTTGGATGTTATAATCTAACATTTTGATCAGAATCTTCCTTTTTAATTTTTAATGTAAAATACCAATATATTATTAATTCTACGATTATCACTTACTTCTACTTACTGTATAGATTCTTATACGTTTAGACATACTCGCTTTCATTTAAATATTTTCGCAATTCGCGGTACGGATGCACGTCGGGTTTCTGTTCTCCGCCTTCCGCTTCACCCTTGAACGTTGTTTTCGTGAAGACGTGCATCCTTTCCTCTGATGATGCCGATACAAAGTCTCGTTCGGACGTCTGGGCGTTTACAGTCAAGATATAGTCTTTGATT